ATTATTATTAACCTTTAAAACAGACTGTTTTACAATTCATCTATTATTGTTTTGTTTGCCAACCAATCAAGAACCTAACAAACCCGACGCCATTTCCATTATACGCGTTTTCCCGCGCTTGACACCTGTTCAGTTTTGCTTTGAGCTTTGTTTAATTCATTGTTTTGTTAGAATTTGCTGTGACTTAACAGTTGTAATTTGGGGTTTGAAACGACCACTAAGGGTTTAAAATTTCCATTTTCCTAATGTATTTTTTTTAGTCATATGTACTTTTGCTGGAATTGCTGTTCATTGAAAAAGATCTCAAGACTTTTTACTTTTCTTGTCTTTTCATTTTCTGTTCTCTATTTTTAGGTCTCACTCACCATCACCGATCTATTGTTGCCACTCAAAAGGAGCTAGACGCTGTTCCTAAAGTCAAAGTTGAGAGCAGCCACAAGCAGGAAGATGAAATTCTCACAACAATATCAAGCTGTTAGTTTTATTTCCTTTCTTAAACGAAAATCATTTTCCTATATACGGTACAAACATGGTGAAAAATAGGAGGAGAAAGCACGTATCATATCTTTATCTTTCTGAAATATTTGATAATTTCACGACACAAGAAAGAAGACGAATACACAGTCTTATTTTTTCTTTATCTGCAGCTTATCAGGGATGCTTCAGGGACAAAAAGCCCGGCCGTGATCTTCCAAAACAGTTCACCAAGTACGAAATGACCCCTGAATGGTGTGTTGGGAAGTGCAAGCTTGCAGGGTACAGTTATGCTGGTCTACAGTATGGATACTTGTGTTTCTGTGGTGACAAGTTTGGCAAGTATGGCCGAGCCGACGATCGCGACTGTGACAGTTTGTGCTTTGGTGATAAGACTAGGAATTGTGGCTCTTTCTGGCATAATTCCATCTTCTCTGTTGGTAAGGACTTTGATAGCAACACTGAGTGAAATTTGAATAACGGATTCAAAAAAGTAACGAAGAAATCATTGTCTTCTACTGAGATATAATAATATCAAACGATGTGCGAACTTGGAATTGTCTCTGAACTGATCATTGATCTAATTTTGTTACGTTGTGCGCAAGCTAATCAGCCACAACACATTATCTGTAGTGTAAATTAATTTTGAAAGCGAAAACGTTCCATATCAAGTTCGTGTAAAATGANTTAATAATATAAACATGAAAAAAATTCGCGTGAAGGAAGTGCCGGAAGATCTTTCTTGCAGCCATTTTTTCTCATTCGAGAAAGCTTTTTTCAAAGTTTCCACACAAACGTTTCGTCGTCATTTTACATGATATCATTGGCTAAGAAAATTCCTATTTTCTTTCAGCCAATCATAATCCAGAATTACGATGTGTAATTTGCATTTGTGTTACACTTTTTGCACTGATGTTACACTTGAACTGCACTGCTCTCAGCCAATCAGAATCGAGTAATTTTTTCATGTATATTATTAAACGAGTAATGGTGTAAAAGCTCGAGCAATTAAGGATTACACCAATTATGATATATGAAAATTGTTTCATATTGTCTTCGCCTAAAGATTCATGCATTTTGGGGGGAATTTTCAAATATCATTCGTAGTGTAAATCCTTACTTGCACTGGCATTCATATCATTACCAATAACTTAATATCACGCAGATACCAGTCACGGGAAATCCAAACGAGCGCCAGATGAGGAGCTTCAACTAGAAAGTGAAGATGCACTCAATTCACTCAGCGGTGAGCCGTGAAATTAATGCTTCAACATAATCTTACTTTTGAGAACTTCGTGATTCAGGAAAGTTGGTCTAAAATATATTTTCTTTATGTTTACAAAGCTGCTGAGAAATTAATGGGATCAGATGACGCTTCCCCTGAGCCAAAAAGAAAACAAAAACGAGATGCAGAGGGTGATGGTCGGGACCTGCTTGTGGCTTACTTGAGTGACGTGGGAGGATATGACAGGAACTATCGGGATGTTGAAGACGAGGACGAGTCTGGGTCTTCAGGTAATAAGATACCATTATAACATATTAATCCGTATTACCTGTTCTACGAGGAGCAGGGATGGCGCAGTGGTGAGAGCGCTCGCCTTCCACCAGTGTGGCCCTGGTTCGATTCTGGCCCGGTGCCATAAATGGGTTGAGTTTGTTGTTGGTTCTCGCCTTCCTCCGAGGGTACTCTGGGTTTCCTCCCTCTTGAAAAAATAAACATTTTCGAATTTTAATTCGAGCAGGATAGAGGACCCGCACGAAAAGTAGCTAAGGATGATGTGGGTTCCTCGCTAAATATTATAATTTGTTATCACGTCCTTCCATTGAAGGACGAGCATAAAATCAATTTTCTTTTTTTGCCGTTGAGAATCAGGGTAAATAAACTTCATTCTCAAGACACTATAGTGTGTATATTAAATATTCTATATATATTGTTCTTATCAGATCGCTTACACGTACACGAAACTAATTTTCAAAAATAATTTTAGAGTCTAAAGACAAGAGCGAAAAGTTTGAATACCGACGTATGGTTATTGATGAGTCGGGAGATGGTGAGTTCGTCGAAAAATCCAAAAACGAACAACTCAAGGCTCGGAAACGGAGAGATGTCTCAGAGCCATGGGACGAGAGCTTCGATGGACCAAAGAAGATGGCTTCAAGGGCGGCACCAGTTGAAAATTATTCAAAGCGCAACGTCATTCCTGTGCGTGAGGGTGATACCGAAGATGACACCAGCAGGCTCGGAGACTCTTCGGGTGAAGCGGAAAGGCCTGATGATTCAAGTGAGGCCATTGAACCACAAGGATCGGAAGATAAGTTAGTTTCCCCTGAATCCGGTGATGACCAAAACGCAGATGGAGTTAGCAAGTCCCAGGACAGCGATAACTCTGGTCAATCAGATTTTGAAAACGATTCAGGAGAGGCGGAAGAATCTGCCGAGTCTGCCGAGTCTGGTTATGCAGACGAAGGCGAGGAGTCTGGAGATGAGGCAGATCAAGGAGAAAGTCAGGAGACCAGTAAGTTGAAATATTTAGGTGTAATTTAACACAGTAGCAAATAAACTAACCATCGACTCTGCTCTAAAACACAACAGTGATAAAAAGAGAACCAAATAAATTTACTACTATTCATCCAAGCATTTTAAAACTTCTTAGAAAGTCGTGGAATAATATTACATCAGAGTGAACGTTTCATCAAGGTTTTAATATCTCATTTGTAAACGTATGTTTCTTCAAGTTGTTAATGTTCTGTTAAGTTTAAAATTAGTCAATCTCATGAAACCTGCGTATCTGTAGTAAAAAGTCACGTTATTTCTTGCACAAGACTAACCGTGCGTTTGCACATCGGGCACTTGTCATCAAACTGCTATGTTTTTAACACAGTTCCTTTTGTTTAAAGATTTTGCACGTGTAGTGAGGGCGGTTGACAGTGAATATGATGATAGCACTTTGTTACGACACCGCAGAGAACTAACAGAAGAACTGGATGAAGAAGATAAGCCGAGGGCCAGATCTAAGGTATCCTCCGCACTAACAATTTCCTGGAAGGAGACAAATTCGGCCGGATTTTTAATTTAAACGAAGTAAAACATTTAGGGTCGGCCATGGGGGGTAGTGGGACGCGCGGTGGCCTCATGGTCAGTGAGCTCGTTTCCGGATCGAGCGGTCCGGGTTCGAGCCCTGGCCGGGCACATTGTGTTGTGTTCTTGGACAAGACACTTTACTCTCACAGTGC